AAATATGGAGCTTTAATAAGTTGTACTTACACACAATCTACTTGCAATCTTGAGTTTTAAGTAATATGCATTACTAAACATTATTTTACGCATAAGAAGTGAGTTTTAAGAGTTTTGTCAGAGGCTTTATATTATAGAATAGATATGTAAAGAGAGGTTGTCAGAAAAACCTAAAAGAATGAAAAACTAACAAATACCTTAACAACCATCAATCTGTTTAACAGTTACTAAATGATCCGATACAGAATGATTAGAGGACTCTTATAATATAGTGCAAAAGAAAATATAATTGTTTGGTAATTATTCATAATGAAATTAGGGTGTACTGAATGGTTAAGGAAGGTCCAAGATGTAAAATCATTCAGAGGTTTTAAAACCATTAAGAGACAGACTTTTTTTTTTTGCCAAACAAGATTCGCCTCTTAGCAATTCAGAGACTGCCTTTTAATGGAGCTATTAAGAGGTTAACAAACAACACCTAGTTTCTATTTACGTATGCATGTTACATGTACATCCAGGACAAGTTACTTGTATCACATATACATATCATTCAAATGAATGGTTGTTAGCATGTTCTTTAATTTTTCATGTTTTTGCATATTCCTCTTAACCTAACACCCGTCTCTCTCTCTATACACACACACACACACATATATATATATATATATATATATATATATATAATCACATAAGTTGTTATACACCAATAGATATAAATGGTGGTAAGTGAGCTCAGTGCTTGTATTCCATGAGTAATAAAAGTTGAATTCCAAATGCAAAATTGTATCCAATCCCTAGAAGAGGAAGAGGAAGAGAAGCAACCAAATCCATCCAGATTGTAGATCAGAATCAGACATTGCTGTCTTTCATTGTATGCATGTGTGATTAGAATTAAACAACTACATGAATAACTTTGGTTGGTTCTTGCCTGTTGCTAAAATAGTTAGTCTTGGACTTCTATGCCTTTATCCTAGAGGATTCTCCAACCGCACTCTCCATTCTTGAGTACCACTCCCCAATTCTCGTGTGCTCCACCATATCTTTACCTGACCTTAGATATCGAATAGGTCTCAGCACCCCAAACACAGCTAGATCGCCCAAATTAGGCTTCAATCCTCCTGATCAAGTCGTTAATACTAACCACAATAAGTTAACTGCAATGCAAAATAAAAAAGAAAAAGAGAAGCAAATGCAAAATCCCACGTTGCTAGTGACTTTAGATTTTGAACCCTCTCTCTATTGATTGTTCGAGTGTATGATCCACTATCATTTCTTTCTTCCTAAATGAAATGTATGCAGACTAGGAGCACAATATTCAGCCGATTAAAAAAGTGAAGACATGGTTTCGTGTTTTCCATCCGAGAGTTCTCAAGTTATTGGCTCCATTCTCCGATACAATGGCACAAAAAACTTCTGTGCATCAATAAAACTGAAGCAAATCTCAGGTCTTTTATGGCTAAAATTGAGGTGCGGAATCATAGATGCACAATACTAGAAAAGATGTATTGTCATGTTGATATATGTGCACATGTGTCTATATGAACATGATAGCTGTAATTTGTGCATGCTTCCATGGTGAAAAAGGATCACCTAAAAGTAGTAAAATTAAACTGACAAGATGACTTCAAGCTATGTTAAATACCCATTGATCATAAAACTGGCATGGTATATATCAAGAAAACTGACCTAAAAACTCTCTGCCGTCAAGTGCGTTGACCCAAGTTTCTGCAGCTTCATACAAGGCTGCTCTTTCATCAGTAATGTTATACTTTTTCTTCAGTTTCTTGGACACAAAATACATAGCAGCAGCCCCAGCATATTTCACTGCATATTTCTCTGAGAGGCTGAAGTTACCTGAAAATTAAATGACACATGTTATACACATTCAAACCAGAATGAAGTCGATGTTTACTGGATATGTTCAGTTTGGTGGGTTTCACCGTGATCCAGTTTCAGAGGGGTGTTTCAGATTCACTTGTTGGTCATTGGTCAATTTCTTGCACGTCGGTGCTTAAAATTCAAGGTCATGGAGTGGTCACTGTATAAGAGATGGAGGAATCTGGATTTGTTTCAAGAGGATTTCTCTGTTGCTTCTAGCAATGCCTTAAGATGGTTAGTAGTGAATCTTGTCCTAGTAGTTTCCAGTACTGCGTGTCAAGTGATTTACTGATTTAATGTTTCTTTGCTTGTTTTAACCAATCTCCCTCTTTTATCGTAGTATTAAACTAATTATCTTTCCAGGGTATGTTCGAAATACATGGTTGCATGAAATGAAAAAAAAACATAATTAACAAGAAAGGCATTCAGATGTCAACATTATTATTTGTTGCATGTTGATGTAATCATTAAGGGAAAGAATTCATGAACTTTATTATGCATTGTGTTCATAACAAGAAATGCATCAATGATTGTGAGATGCGTTGTATGCTTATATTTGTACACATTATCCACATGTCAAGTAAACAAAAATATTGCAGCGTACACATGCCAGGAATTAAGCAACATTAAGCTTACCGTTGTTAGCAATATAGTCAAAGGATTCCAGAGCCTCAGAAGTGTTCCGATAGATGTTTGGTGATAGCATATGAACCAAATGATCATCAACCCACCTACACGGTCCCACTTTTCGTTAGTGCCATAAACAACTTAAAAGACTAGTTTCAGAATATTCTCTACCGATAAACGATATGATTAACATGCTAGAGGTCGTGACTGAGAAATGAACACAAAAATGAGAAGTTCTAAATGATTCTAAACGGAAGCATAAAGTCAAAGTAACAACTAGTAAGCCTAAATTGATGCCTATCCTGTGTGACCCAGATCATGGAAAAAAAGTTGAGGCACAATAAGAATATCAAGTCTGCCCACTTCCCTGAAGCTCTACTTGGACAAACCCTGGAATGGTGTGTATTAGCATGACACTTGTAATTAGCATTCTACTAAGCAAGATACACAAGACATTTTCTGGTTTTCACTGATGTAAACAAGGAGACTAAGTCACTAAGAGCTTGTTTGTTAGCAGCTTAATGAGCTTAATGGGACTCACAGCTTATTCAGTCAGCTATACATGATTGTTTAGTAGTGGCTTAATGATATGGAATGACTTATTCAGTAAGCTTCTAGGGAGAGTTTTAAGCAGAAAGCCAAGTTTTTTTCCAAACCTGCCCTTCCCAATTAAAACCACGCTCCTTCCATCTATGAAAAAACCCTATGAAATAAAAACCTTCGCAATCTAAACAGCAAATTAATCTACACAGACAACTTTATCCATACGAAACTTAATGGAAAACCAACCAAACAGCCCCTAAGATTCAAACTTTTCCTCTCATACAAACCTTAAAGTAATGACTATGTTAACTTATGCTGGAAATTTTGCTTTTTCGAAATTGCAGTCCACTTTAAAAGAAATAAGTAAATGTGCAATATGGGAGTGATGACAGTATGGCACAAAGAGATCTTGTCCACCTAATTCTATGGTTGTTTCTTAGGTTCTGAAGTAGCATTCTCAACGATGCATATCCATGGATGTTTATCTTCATGTGGTGGTGTTCCCTACAATTTCAAGCACCATAATTATTGTACTAATAGGGCACACATTAAGTTTCTAACATAACATAAATTTAACAGTGTTTCGCATTACTTATGTTTGTAATTGCGGGAAGCATGTTGGTTTTACTTTGTTTAACCTTGATACTTACCTTCAAAAGTCTTAATGATACAACCATAACGACACATTCCTGTTAGCCTCCAATACTCTACCGTGCGACACCACCAAGCAAATATTTCTCCTAAAGAGCACTGATCATAGTGCAACTATAGCAAGTCTCATCCATAATTGTTACAGTGCCATAGTGAATCATGGCAGTAGCCAACTGCTTGAACGCCATGTCGACAAGGCACCCACAGGTTGTCCATATTGCAACAAGTCGTTCACTATGCGTTAGTTCTGCATTTGTGTTACATACATCATTACACTGAAAATTTATATAATAGCATCATTTGTAAATGAAGGTTGACATTTGCATTCATGAACTCTTCAAAAGGATTAGCCCCGAAACCTTGCTATAACTTCTACAAACAATGATGAACTTGATAGTTGTCTCATTTGCATGTGGAAACAAACCTCACGCCTATGTGTGTTTCATGTACTCACACTATCTCTTGGCTAAATAATGCATGGGCCAGTGACATATCAACGTGCATCCTAATTAAACTTGGTGATGAAATAGATGGTGTTTGTCGTGATTGCTACCAATGRGTGTAGCCTGGGTCTTGCTTGGAGTGTTATGGACATGTCGTTTATATAGTAAACATAATAAAAAAGAATAATCTACAGCTGTAAACATGAGAAAAACGAATATGATTCTCTTTCCATCCCAAACCACATACCTAACAACCTACGACATGGACTTATCGGAGACTAAACTAATTGGGCACTTGGACGGTTGGACCATGATAAATTGGACAAGTTTGCTACATTAGAAAATTATTACTGATTTGGTCCAAAATATCTACTAATAATGATCATATTACTAGCACTAATATAGGTTACAAATAAACAACAAGTATGTAACTGACTGTGTTTCATTTAATAAAAAAAGATAAAGAAAGCAGAGGTAATAAAAACAAATCAATCATTGGAAAACTAATTACTTGGCATAAATATTTGAGACAGTTGGCAGGAATCAGTCGCAGCATGGTGAAATTCAATAACTGAAGATTTTGCAAAAAGGTTCAAAAATTGATAGCAATGTCACCCTAAATAAAGCTGGATAACTGCACAAGTGAATACCCCAATTCATTTTTCCTATATCCCAATTACTGACCCATGTAACATTAACAACATATGAAACAAATATACTTCTTAGGCACTATAAAGAGAAGAAAGAACAAACCTGCGCCACTTCTTCTCTTCATCATCATTTGAGAGCGCTGACGAAGATTTCACAGGAATGATCCTGTTCCCCATCTGATCAATAATAGCTGCAAGAAAGACTCAATGTGTCTTTAAAGGACATATCAATTACCTTCTTAAATTTAAACAAGTCTTATTTGGTCGATATCAATATTCAACACGATCATTCAAATTTAACAAGAACAACAGTGAATAATATGCAGAAAATACCTGACGAATCTACCAGTGATTCACCATCCACCATCAATATCGGCACCTTCTTATAATCAGACCATTTGATCTCCTTCTTACTAAATGGATTCACCTCCACAACTTTGTATGGTATATCATAGTAATCCAAGAATGCTGAGAAAGCAACAGAAAAACCATGTAAAGTTCGCATATCTTGACTTCTATTTAGTATTTACCCAAACTTCCTTTCACATTGTTTTGAAACAAACTTGGCTGTTTCCATCATGAGAATAGAAAATCAATATGAACAAATTGTTTTGATATACATGCATGTTGGCAGGCTATCCAACAATACAATGCAAGTGCTTCTTATTACTATATGCTTGCAACTCCATTGCCAAGGTGCGGTAACAAAAACTATTTAGTACACACAAAATAAGAGTTCATTGATGATGTAAAAAATATTTACACAAGCAGCTTGTAATAAATAAAAAAGACAGGTGTGCATTCATGGATTAAGAAATTTAACTTATGGAAAAATTTTGTAACAGGTCTTCTGTTCATCCACTTGGACAGCTTTTCTTGCACAAATCTGCATAAATTTCTTCTTCCTGAACTTCCAACCATGCTCAYTRAATATAAATCCAACTACATCTAAAATAATGCTTACTARAAGGCAAACACCACCATGTATGTAACTCACATTCAGGTTTTTACACGAAAATAATAAATGGTAAATATTATAGCCTTAGCGCATGGCTGCATAAGGCTTGGTAGTTCCAGGTTCCAAGTAATACGTGACAGAGAGGCGAAATTATCAATAAGTTCCATTTCGTAATGTCCTAGTTAAGACATTTGAAGCTAATGATCTAACTGCCCAATTCTCATTGCTACAAAAAGATAAATTGTGATACAATTTGATGTGTACATGATTGTCGATTTGGAAACTGGGAGAAGGAGACAATACCTTTAACCTTGTTACAGAAAGGGCAAGCTTCGTACTGGTAGAGCACGACATCCTTAGGGATAAGATCAGGCTTGAGAAGTTCTTTGGCATAAGCCCCTTCTTCCACCAAAAATGATGAGGCACCAGCAGCGATGGAAGCGGCGGCAAGACCACCTAGGGACAGAAAAAACTTAGCAGCACCTGAGTAGCCGCCTTGAGAAATGGATCGCATGGATGTTGAAAACCACCGCCGAGAAGAACCGACATTGATGCCGCCGTAAAAGGAGGCCGCCTGAAAGAGCCTGTTGTATTGTTGTTGTTCGGAAGATGCCAGAAGGGCGCGGGATAGAGCTGAGGATGCGGCGAGAGTAGAAGCTCTCCTCATTTTTTCCGATTAACCGGTATTTGGGATTTGCTTCACGGCTACGCAACCGCGGAGAGTGGAACTTCTTTGGGGTTTTAGAACTGGCAGTGGTGTCCGGTCCGACCGTCCGGCAGCGATCATGGACCGTGTAAATCGTTGAAATGTTACCAGTTGGTCCCTTAAAGTTTCGCTTTTTTCACAAAATCCGCAACCAATTTTTTCAAGAGTAAACTACAATTTTGGTCCCTATTGTTTACATCCAACTGCGAAAACGTCGTACAGTAATGGTCAATGTGGTTTGCATTTTGTTTTGAAATGGTCCCTTTTCACCAACTTTGTTAAAAGTTGTCCGTTAAGTCATGGGCATTTTCATCTTTTTACTTGTTCCCTTGTCTTTTTTTGATCAGTCTTTTATATATATATATATATATATATATATATAGGTCCAATCAAGGAAAAACTCGATTGTTTATGATAACTGTGATATCCAATCTCAACCACATATTATTAATAATCAATAGTTATTATTAAACATATTAATTTGGGTAATTATTCGTTAATTTTGATAATTATTCATTAATTTTTAAATAATTTAAATTTACTGATAATATATAGGGGTAAATTAGTCTCTCCTCTCTCCCCTCTCTCTCTTCGGCCAATAATTTCTAACAGTAAAACACAAAACAAATATGATACACGTTGTGATACCCAAAAGTTTATAACAGTAAGACACAAAATCAATTGTGATACACATTGTGATACCACTGTGATAACGTTTTTGAATATGGGTTAATAACATATATGATCTGAGTTTTAGACCACACACAACCACAATGTGATACACGACTGTGATACAATTTTGTTAAGATAATTAAGGAAACCGAATTCTTGATAATTAAGGAAACCGAATTTGATAACTATTAAATAAGAAAAATATTTAAATTATAATTAATCATTTTGCTAAAACACCCTTTACCTATTAATTAAGGTAATACAATTAATATCATAAAATGATTGGCTCATATTGGACTTCAMGATTACCACAAACTAATTAGTTAGCATTTGATTAGGGCCCCATATACATACATATATATATATATATATGTATGTATATATAATATTACTAAAAATTTAAAAAACCATCAACCTCTCCTCATCACTCTCTTGTCACCAACCTCTTTATATATCATCTTCTGGTGGATTCTCGCACACCTTGGTGTTTTTAATTCACACACATTTATAAAAATCCATTCATAAAACACACCAGATGATGTACACGTGCAAAGCCGCAAACTCACACTTGTACATGCACAAGCACATAGCGATGAGTGGTTGCAGGGAAACGGGAATGGGTCGAGGTCACTAAAAAATGGGAAGCAAGGGTGTGGGAGTCACGATGAACGAAAGGGAGGGTAATGATGGGGAGTTGGGGACAAAGGTGGTCCTAGGAAGTAGATTTATCGGAGATGGAAAGTGAGAAGCGACCATTATTATACTTGTTTAACGGGACCTTTTTTCAAAGAAAAATGCAAGCCATAGTAACCATTACTATATTTAATGAAGTCTAAAAACGATGTTCGTAGTTAGGTGTAAACCATAGGGACCAAAATTGTAGTCTACTTCTTTTTCTAATATCGATTTTGATTACTACTTCTTTTTTAATATTTAGCCGTCAGGATTTAACGGTAAAAATCCATGTTTGAAAATATTTAAAAACTGGCCATACTATTCGTATAAAGTTGAAGCTTGAGGGGATGTTTTTGTAAATTTCAAAAACTTAATTGAATTTAAAATTTTAATTTAATATCGGATTTTTTTTATTAACCTGGATATTCAACCCGCTATGCGAGCCGACTAATTCAAGAGCGACCACCTGCTTTGCAGATAGCTCGGAGTCACCGCATTTGAACCTCCGTGGCCACAAATGGATTTTTATTTCTCCTTTGATTTAAACCTGGGACTTCTTGATACTTTTGATCTTTAGAGTTAAGTTCAAATCAATCAGACACCACCCTTATGGTTTAATATTTAATTTAATATTGGATTTTTATAAATTGATAAAATGAAACCGGGAAGTTACAATAAAACAAATAGTTAACAAACTAGTTGTTCAATGAGCATTGCTTAAGAAACATACCCATTTGTTTATGAAAAAACAAATATTAAGGGTCGTCTCTTAAAAGCGTTATTTACCAAGTTACATTATCGTATCGGATGAATGTGGTAAGAACCAATAATTTTACTTTGTAAGCGCGATGAAACGACCAAGAGTTTTACTTGGTAATTGAGGGCGACGACTCTTACCACTATCATCGTTTACCGGGTAAATTGTTGCATATGATACCGTTTTTGTTGACTAAAATATTACCAGGTATGTAAGTGATAATATTAAAATTTACCAATAAGCATTTATCAAATAAGTGTTTGATAAACGATCCTAAATAAATATATAAATAGTATGAACACATTAACTCATATATTTAGTAGTAGAATAGATGCCAAACCCTAACTAAAAAACCTAAATTGTTGCCTAATAAACATGCTAATCAATACTATATTATATAATATTTAACTTTTACCTTTTAAAAACTCTTATGATCTGTTTGGTTTACATGATTGTTTCCAAGGGATTTGGATTTCATGGAATGATTTGAATTTGGAGAGTTTGGAATGGAATGGATTTGAAATCATTAATGTATTTGGTTTGTATGATTTGGAATGAAATTGGATTCCATTATTTATAAATAACTTATAAAAATAATTAAATTATATTTTTATTAATCGATTATTACAAAACAAATGGTTTAATATTTTTAGAACCTTATTACATACAATCATATGAAATGTCATGAAATCCCAAGCACCCCCTAAGAATTTCAAAATTCTATGTTTGTGGGATTTCAATTAACTCTTAGGGCGCGTTTGGTTTGAGGGATTTGGAGGGATTTGGATTTGAAATCCATTCCAATCCTACGTTTGGTTTGTAGAAATGGTCGGATTTCAAATCCCGGGATTCATTTGAAATCCCACCAACACTGGATTTGAGAATCCTTCACCCTTACACGGGATTTGAAATCCATTCCCGTGGATTTCATCGCTTCCTCCTTCTCATCGCTTCCTTCTTCTCATCGTCTTCTCCTTCTCACCGCCGTCTCCTCCGTCTTCGTCTTCGTGCTCACGGCCTTCGTCTCATCGCCGTCGCCCTTCGTCTTCGTGCTCACAATCAACAGTCGCCGTCGCCCTTCGTCTTCATGCTCACCGTCAACAGTCGCCCTTCGTCTTCGTGCTCACAATCAACA